CCTTATTCTACACTGGCTAGAGGTATAGGGGGGAGGGTTGAGATCTCACAAAACATGTTTAACCGCGCCGTATTTTTGCGCCTGTCCCAAGTCAGGAGCCTCTGGCCTTTGTTATTTTTGTATGTTTTTTTTTTTATTTTAGTTCATTTATATGTTTTGGAGTTTAGTATGACGTCCATTTTTACTGAACTAGTACACAATTTTATTTAGGGTCCAGCTGAGGGATTTTCTCGCTGCGTTGAAGACCCATTGGTGGCCTTCGGCTGTTATCTGCTCTTTGGTCGGGTTGTTGTCTCTTTGACATTTTCCCCATTTCCATTCTCAATTTTATTTATTCAAAAACTGATATTGATATGCTTTATCCATTAATTTCGCTTTCCTGAGTTTAAGCTACAATTTATGGATTGTGCAAAATCTATTTTATATCGGAAAACTTGTTTGAATGGAAAGTAAATTTCTAATAGAAATTTATGATATTAAATTTATTGAGACAGATTTTATTGAATATATTTTAGAATAATATGATAAAAATAAATTAAATTGCTGAACCACAAAAAAAGAGGTTAAAAAGTAAATCGGTTGTAAAAATGTTCAGAAAGGAAAATTTGAATTAATAAAAACCATGCCTAAAAAACTAATAATATTATTTCAATGCTATGAAACGATTTTAATGTAGTTATTTATTGAAAATTGTATCATTAAATCATATTTTTATTTTAAGACGAAAATGGTCGTATAAACAATTAAACCTTGCAGATTGGTCTACCTTAAGTTGAGTATTTTAAATTTTGTAATGTCTTTTGTTTCCCCCCCCCCCAAAAATTGCTTTAAACTATATTTCTTTCGTAAATATTTACCGATTTAATGAGAAAATATTACGTTCCTGCTTATATTTACAGAACTTTCATATACTTAACGTGAGATTAAGTTTTACTGGTAAGTGAAGATTGGCGGTTCTTTTCTTTTTTTACCGGCATTAAAACGTGTACATCCTAATCCGTATTTGATTGGTCGGAACTTTAAAGGACCGTTAACTATTTCCCGACAAAGTTGTTAGTTTTATCACTTAATAAGCAATCAGATGTAAACCGATAATCTGATAAAAAGATTAAAGATCACTTAAGTAAATATTTTCAATCTCCAATTGATTTCTGATAAAGGGGCGTGTCTTTTGACGCGTGCCGTCACACGCGTTTTAGTGATATATATATAAGAGCACCGAGAAAAGTTTATAAACAAATTTTTCGAAGATCGAGTAAATATGGTGAATAATATTGTTGAAGTAGATTCCACATCTGGAAAAAGAAAGGTAAGGTTTATTTTATAGTTTTATTTCAATAACAAAACATTCCTGTAGGCAGCTAACTTATATTTTAATATATCAATTTGAACACATTTTTGTACGAATATGTATGCAATTCAAACCATTTCAATAATTTATTGCCATTAGACAGTTCATTTAGGTTTGGGACAAATAACAACAAATATATATCACTTACATTATATAGCATGTATATGTAGCTAGTTGAGTCTGAGACTATTATAACAGTGTTATTGTAGTCTCAGGTTGAATATATAATTTCGTGAATATTAAAAAAAAAATAGTTTCCTGACCTCAGTTTCAATGGATGTTTATGAAGAAAAATATTGTTTTACTTTGACTGTGAGATGTAGGGTTATTAAGCATAAATTTTAGTTGATTTATCAAAATTGAAGACGTCATTATGCACAATTTTCAAATACTAGTACTTTAATTAGTTCTCTAAAGTTTCTTTATATTTTTTACAACTTAAGAAGAAATGTTTTCCATCTTCTGATATATCGCAAAGCGTGCAGAGTCTATATGATCTCTAGGGTCTTATGTCTGCATTTTCTAGTAAAATCGTGTCCCATAGAACGAATTTATTTACATGCAAATGATGTTTTTAAAAATGAGAAATATATGCCGCAGGTCCAGATAAAAGGCTTAAATGCGGTTTTAGGATGGAGCGATTGATTTCGGTATCATTAAAAAGGTAATTATTGTGAAAAAATGATTACAATCTATAAAAATAAATTTTAATTCTATTTTAGATAAATAAACCACTGATAGAGAAGAAGAGAAGAGCAAGAATCAACAATTGTTTGTCACAGTTGAAAACGTTGGTGCTCGAGGCAACAGGAAGAAACAATGAGGTAAGAATGACTTCAATTACACAACTTTAAAACATTTTTTTATAGTATTTTTATTATACATTTCGCAACTATCGGTTTCCATCAATGACCAGAGGACAATGACTTTCTAAAAAGGAAATAAGTTCTTATTACAACAAACAAAAGTGTTTGGTTGTTGGCACAAAACATACATCTTACAGTAGTAACACTATGATTGATTGATTGGTGATTGCTTTACGCCGTATCTATGAACACTATGAGCTCAATATCTAACAGCTCAAATGTTGTATTTAGTATAATTTGAAGAGGTCAAAACAATTTTTGGTCATAGTTTTACTTAACACTTGTATTTATCAAGCTTATTAGATTATATTCCGGACTCTGGTCATAACCATTGCTGAATTTGAATTGCGTAAGATGCTAGTTAAGTAATTTAATTTGAGTTATTTCCCTTAGAATGTAAACATGATACCCCATATCCTTTGTTTTCCTATTATGAATTGTCTTCAGTGGATGTACATTTGGCTCAAAACTGCTATCCGATAAATTTCAGTTATTATCAGAATAACGTATATCAAATTGAACAAAAATTTGGTACGTCAACACATACACATTTCTAAATGAAGTACTGTGCTAGTGCTCTTGTTGCTACGCCAGCCGCACAGCCGCCACATATATAAAAAGGGGGATATAACAAAGCCACGAAGTGCTAGTTTTTTTTGATTTTTTTTTAATGAATGCGAATAAAAGGAAATATAAGACAATCCAGCGATATACTTAACATACAAACATATCTATAGGTCAGCATAAGGTCTTTGACAATAGACTGATTCTTCTGATTATACATTACGCTTTATCAAAAACTGTATATAATATTTTAAAGTATTTCATCTTTAATTTTTGCATCTATCTTCAGAGTGCACTTAACTCAAAGCTGGAAAAAGCAGATATTTTGGAAATGACGGTCCAGTATTTGGAAAGCATTCACAAGAGTTCACTATCAAACCGATCGAACGTAACTTCTACCATAACAACACCTTATCAAATGGGATATACTTTATGTACAGGACAAGCAGCTCGTTTCCTAGAAATAAACCCACGTGTTCAGGAAGATAAACAGATTGATATGCATGTCAGCCATAAACAAGATGCTGTTTGTCGTACAATGGAAACCAGATACCCGGATGTTCCATCCACCCATAATCAGAACAATTTTTGTCCAGTAACGGAGTCATCTAGTCACAATGAATGCAATATAAACAACAGACTTGTAAGTCACTTGAGTAACAATATCCAGTACCACGTGAACAAAACTAGAGATTCATTTACACATTCGTCGGGATACAAATGTTCTTCGAGCAACTCGTCGTTATGTGTAAAAACAGAAGAACAATCTACAGAAAGAAGACTGACGTATTACAGCGAAACAAAAAACTTAATTTCCCCTGTTAGAGGCCGTGACTCCGCAGCAAACAACAAAAGTCCAACATCAAACAGTCACAATTCACCAAATTCTATGAGTATTCCAATGAATGATAATGTTTGGCGACCATGGTAGCATGTGCTGACATTGAAAAACAAAACTACAATATAAAGTGCAATATTTCATCATCTGTGATACTTAAATTAAATTAAATTCTCATATATTTACCTTTATAGTTGGTCCATATACAGATATTCTTATATAAAAATGAAACGCTATTTTTTGTCGGAGTCAAATTTCAATTTTTTAAGTATTCATTTGGTATTTGCGGTCGTGTTTTATGGGACTGGTTGAAAATTCCGAACACCTACGATACATCTTGAAAAGACTTAAATTTTTTCATAGGATATATTTTAAAATTATTTCTTTGGACAATCTTCTATTTTTGTAATCGTGACAGCAATTAAAATTTATGATTTCCCGAAAGTAATGAAGCAATTCATCCTTTGCATGATCAGTGTTAATTCTACCCGTATATGTATTTAAAAATTAAATGCTTATTTTTGGAATTTTATGTGGGCGTAAAAGCGTTGACTGAAGTACATTTTGTATGAAGCGCGGAGCTTCATACATACAATGTGGACATTGTTCGACGCCTTTTCGACCCTATTAAATTAAATACAGAAGTATTTAAGTATTATAATTACATTTTTAGAATTACGAGTTAAATCAAGCATTTCGTTTGTTTTTTTGTGCATTATTTTATTACCTTTTTGGGTTAATTGATTGATTACTATTTTACGTTCAGGGACAAATATTTCATGCATATTCAGGACGAGAACAAGTAAAAATTATATCCACTAGATCGATCCTCCCTACAATCCATGTTCATTCCCAGGCTTCTTTAAATCCCCAGGATAAGGTGATAAGTAAGCCAACAATTTATACAAATGATTAACGATTTTTTTTTCAATTCACTCACCAAAGAAAATCAGATTACACAATCGTTTGATGTAAACCGTTGACCAGTGGCTATTTGATAATTACATTTAAACAAAGTTCTACCTTCACACGTACATGTACAATCTAAGGTGTTAATAAGATAAAATAACGCAACTATGTAGTCATAATATCTTCTTCTATAGAAACGTACAATAATTTATGAGAAACACTTCTGTAAGACCTTAAAGACCAGGCTGAAGCTAGCGAACAATTATAACTAGCGAACAATAAGCCAGCGAACAATAAGGCGATATATCTAAAAACCGAATAAAATGAATAAGACAGCAACGGCCGTTAAATGAAAAATATTTAAACAGGCAGAAATTCCGTCCAAATATTGCAATTTCAACTCTATCATGAAATGGTATTTATCCCATCCATTGATAAAACAAGTCACTTCTCTTTTTAGTCTAATATTCAGTACCACAGTAAATCTGCATCTGTCAACGGATTATTTGTAGGTGTAAAACCACCAATGCACCCACTTCCATTTAGTACGTATGTAAAAGTAGTCCTTCCCTGTAAAATACAGCACCTTTGATGTCATTGTTTAATTGAACTAAGATACACATTTGCAGAAATGGGGGTTGGCCTATTCCATGGCTTCTTGAGAAAAATAATGAGGGGTGTCACGGGGTATGACTATATAGGTCTTGTAGAGGAGAAACAGGCACATCTTTTGCGCAAGGTATCGAAGGGCGCTATGTTCAAAAATCTGAAACTAGAGCTCAAAATTTAAAAAAAAAAATTGTTAAAAACAGGGGGGTTGGCCTATTCCATGGTTTCTAGAGAAAAAATAATGAGGGGTGTCATGGGGGATGACTATATAGGTCTTGTAGAGGAGAAACAGGCGCATCTTTTGCGCAAGGTATCGAAGGGCGCTATGTTCAAAAATCTGAAACTAGAGCTCAAAATTTAAAAACAAAAATTGTTAAAAACAGGGGGGTTGGCCTATTCCATGGTTTCTAGAGAAAAAATAATGAGGGGTGTCAAGGGGTATGACTATATAGGTCTTGTAGAGGAGAAACAGGCGCATCTTTTGCGCAAGGTATTGAAGGGCGCTATGTTCAAAAATCTGAAACTAGAGCTCAAAATTTGAAAACAAAAATGGTTAAAAACAGGGGGTTGGCCTATTCAATGGCTTTTAGGGAAAAATAATGAGGGGTGTCACGGGGTATGACTATATAGGTTTTGTAAAGAGAAAAAGGCGCATCTTTTGCGCAAGGTATCGAAGGGCGCTATGATCAAAAATCTGAAACTAGAGCTCAAAATTTGAAAAAAAATGTTAAAAACAGGGGGGTTGGCCTATTCCATGGCTTCTAGAGAAAAATAATGAGGAGTGTCACGGGGTATGACAATATAGGTCTTGTAGAAGAGAAACAGGCGCATCTCTTGCGCAAGGTTTCGAAGGGCGCTATGTTCAAAAATCTGAAACTAGAGCTCAAAATTTAAAAAAAAAAATTGTTAAAAACAGGGGGGTTGGCCTAGTCCATGGCTTCTAGAGAAAGATAATGAGGGGTGTCACGGAGTATAACTATATAGGTCTTGTAGAGGAGAAACAGGCGCATCTCTTGCGCAAGGTATCGAAGGGCGCTATGTTCAAAAATCTGAAACTAGAGCTCAAAATTTGAAAAAAAATTTTAAAAACAGGGGGGTTGGCCTATTCCTTGGTTTCTAGAGAAAAATAATGAGGGGTGTCACGGGGTTTGTCTATATAGGTCTTTTAGAGGAGAAACAGGCGCATCTTTTGCGCAAGGTATCGAAGTGCGCTATGTTCAAAAATCTGAAACTAGAGCTCAAAATTTGAAAAAAAAGTGTTAAAAACAGGGGGGTTGGCCTATTCCATGGCTTCTACAGAAAAGTAATGAGGATTGTCACGGGGTATGACTATATAGGTCTTGTAGAGGAGAAACAGGCGCATCTTTTGAGCAAGGTATCGAAGGACGTTATGTTCAAAAATCTGAAACTAGAGCTCAAAATTTGAAAAAAAAATGTTAAAAACAGGGGGGTTGGCCTATTCCATGACTTCTAGAGAAAAATAATGAGGAGTGTCACGGGGTATTACTATATAGGCCTTGTAGAGGAGAAACAGGCGCATTTTTTGCGCAAGGTATTGAAGGGCGCTATGTTCAAAAATCTGAAACTAGAGCTCAAAATTTGAAAAAAAATTGTTAAAAACAGGGGGGTTGGCCTATTCCATGGTTTCTAGAGAAAAATAATGAGGGGTCCATGGTTTCTAGAGAAAAATAATGAGGGGTGTCACGGGGTATGTCTATAAAGGTCTTGTAGAGGAGAAACAGGCGCATCTTTTGCGCAAGGTATCGAAGGGCGCTATGTTCAAAAATCTGAAACTAGAGCTCAAAATTTGAAAAAAAAAATTGTTAAAAACAGGGGGTTGGCCTATTCAATGCTTCTAGGGAAAAATAATGAGGGGTGTCACGGGGTATGACTATATAGGTCTTGTAGGAGAGAAACAGGCGTATCGTTTGCGCAAGGTATCGAAGGGCGCTATGTTCAAAAATCTGAAACTAGAGCTCAAATTTGAAAAAAAATGTTAAAAACAGGGGGGTTGGTCTATTCCATGGCTTCTACAGAAAAATAATGAGGGGTGTCACGGGGTATGACAATATAGGTCTTGTAGAGGAGAAACAGGCGCATCTCTTGCGCAAGGTTTCGAAAGGCGGTATGTTCAAAAATCTGAAACTAGAGCTCAAAATTTGAAAAAAATTGTTAAAAACAGGGGGGTTGGCCTATTCCATGGTTTCTAGAGAAAAATAATGAGGAGTGTCACGGGGTATGACTATATAGGTCTTGTAGAGGAGAAACAGGCGCATCTCTTGCGCAAGGTATCGAATGGCGCTATGTTCAAAAATCTGAAACTAGAGCTCAAAATTTGAAAAAAATTGTTAAAAACAGGGGGGTTGGCCTATTCCATGGTTTCTAGAGAAAAATAATGAGGGATGTCACGGGGTATGTCTATATAGGTCTTGTAGAGGAGAAACAGGCGCATCTTTTGCGCAAGGTATCGAAGGGCGCTATGTTCAAAAATCTGAAACTAGAGCTCAAAATTTGAAAAAAAGTGTTAAAAACAGGGGGGTTGGCCTATTCAATGGCTTTTAGAGAAAAATAATGAGGGGTGTCACGGGGTATGACTATATAGGTCTTGTAGAGGAGAAACAGGCGCATCTCTTGCGCAAGGTATCGAAGAGCGCTATGTTCAAAAATCTGAAACTAGAGCTCAAAATTTGAAAAAAATTGTTAAAAACAGGGGGGGTTGGCCTATTCCATGGTTTCTAGAGAAAAATAATGAGGAGTGTCACGGGGTATGACTATATAGGTCTTGTAGAGGAGAAACAGGCGCATCTTTTGCGCAAGGTATCAAAGGGCGCTATGTTCAAAAATCTGAAACTAGAGCTCAAAATTTGAAAAAAAATTGTTAAAAACAGGGGAAATGGCCTATCCATGGTTTCTAGAGAAAAATAATGAGGGGTGTCACGGGGTATGACTATATAGGTCTTGTAGAGGAGAAACAGGCGCATCTTTTGCGCAAGTATTGAAGGGCGCTATGTTCAAAAATCTGAAACTAGAGCTCAAAATTTGAAAACAAAAATTGTTAAAAACAGGGGGTTGGCCTATTCAATGGCTTTTAGGGAAAAATAATGAGGGGTGTCACGGGGTATGACTATATAGGTTTTGTAAAGAGAAACAGGCGCATCTTTTGCGCAAGGTATCGAAGGGCGCTATGTTCAAAAATCTGAAACTAGAGCTCAAAATTTGAAAAAAAAATGTTAAAAACAGGGGGGTTGGCCTATTCCATGGCTTCTAGAGAAAAATAATGAGGAGTGTCACGGGGTATGACAATATAGGTCTTGTAGAAGAGAAACAGGCGCATCTCTTGCGCAAGGTTTCGAAGGGCGCTATGTTCAAAAATCTGAAACTAGAATGCAAAATTTGAAAAAAATTGTTAAAAACAGGGGGGTTGGCCTAGTCCATGGCTTCTAGAGAAAGATAATGAGGGGTGTCACGGAGTATGACTATATAGGTCTTGTAGAGGAGAAACAGGCGCATCTCTTGCGCAAGGTATCGAAGGGCGCTATGTTCAAAAATCTGAAACTAGAGCTCAAAATTTGAAAAAAATTGTTAAAAACAGGGGGGTTGGCCTATTCCTTGGTTTCTAGAGAAAAATAATGAGGGGTGTCACGGGGTTTGTCTATATAGGTCTTTTAGAGGAGAAACAGGCGCATCTTTTGCGCAAGGTATCGAAGGGCGCTATGTTCAAAAATCTGAAACTAGAGCTCAAAATTTGAAAAAAAAGTGTTAAAAACAGGGGGGTTGGCCTATTCCATGGCTTCTACAGAAAAGTAATGAGGATTGTCACGGGGTATGACTATATAGGTCTTGTAGAGGAGAAACAGGCGCATCTTTTGAGCAAGGTATCGAAGGACGTTATGTTCAAAAATCTGAAACTAGAGCTCAAAATTTGAAAAAAAAATGTTAAAAACAGGGGGGTTGGCCTATTCCATGACTTCTAGAGAAAAATAATGAGGAGTGTCACGGGGTATTACTATATAGGCCTTGTAGAGGAGAAACAGGCGCATTTTTGCGCAAGGTATTGAAGGGCGCTATATTCAAAAATCTGAAACTAGAGCTCAAAATTTGAAAAGAAATTGTTAAAAACAGGGGGGTTGGCCTATTCCATGGTTTCTAGAGAAAAATAATGAGGGGTCCATGGTTTCTAGAGAAAAATAATGAGGGGTGTCACGGGGTATGTCTATAAAGGTCTTGTAGAGGAGAAACAGGCGCATCTTTTGCGCAAGGTATCGAAGGGCGCTATGTTCAAAAATCTGAAACTAGAGCTCAAAATTTGAAAAAAAAATTTGTTAAAAACAGGGGGTTGGCCTATTCAATGCTTCTAGGGAAAAATAATGAGGGGTGTCACGGGGTATGACTATATAGGTCTTGTAGGAGAGAAACAGGCGTATCGTTTGCGCAAGGTATCGAAGGCCGCTATGTTCAAAAATCTGAAACTAGAGCTCAAATTTGAAAAAAAATGTTAAAAACAGGGGGGTTGGCCTATTCCATGGCTTCTGCAGAAAAATAATGAGGGGTGTCACGGGGTATGACAATATAGGTCTTGTAGAGGAGAAACAGGTGCATCTCTTGCGCAAGGTTTCGAAAGGCGCTATGTTCAAAAATCTGAAACTAGAGCTCAAAATTTGAAAAAAATTGTTAAAAACAGGGGGGTTGGCCTATTCCATGGTTTCTAGAGAAAAATAATGAGGAGTGTCACGGGGTATGACTATATAGGTCTTGTAGAGGAGAAACAGGCGCATCTCTTGCGCAAGGTATCGAATGGCGCTATGTTCAAAAATCTGAAACTAGAGCTCAAAATTTGAAAAAAATTGTTAAAAACAGGGGGGTTGGCCTATTCCATGGTTTCTAGAGAAAAATAATGAGGAATGTCACGGGGTATGTCTATATAGGTCTTGTAGAGGAGAAACAGGCGCATCTTTTGCGCAAGGTATCGAAGGGCGCTATGTTCAAAAATCTGAAACTAGAGCTCAAAATTTGAAAAAAAAAAATTGTTAAAAACAGGGGTGTTGGCCTATTCAATGGCTTTTAGAGAAAAATAATGAGGGGTGTCACGGGGTATGACTATATAGGTCTTGAAGAGGAGAAACAGGCGCATCTCTTGCGCAAGGTATCGAAGAGCGCTATGTTCAAAAATCTGAAACTAGAGCTCAAAATTTGAAAAAAATTGTTAAAAACAGGGGGGTTGGCCTATTCCATGGTTTCTAGAGAAAAATAATGAGGAGTGTCACGGGGTATGACTATATAGGTCTTGTAGAGGAGAAACAGGCGCATCTTTTGCGCAAGGTATTGAAGGGCGCTATGTTCAAAAATCTGAAACTAGAGCTCAAAATTTGAAAAAAAATTGTTAAAAACAGGGGAAATGGCCTATTCCATGGTTTCTAGAGAAAAATAATGAGGGGTGTCACGGGGTATGACTATATAGGTCTTGTAGAGGAGAAACAGGCGCATCTTTTGCGCAAGGTATTGAAGGGCGCTATGTTCAAAAATCTGAAACTAAAGCTCAAAATTTGAAAAAAATTGTTAAAAACAGGGGGGTTGGCCTATTCCATGGTTTCTAGAGAAAAATAATGAGGGGTGTCACGGGGTATGACTATATAGGTCTTGTAGAGGAGAAACAGGCGCATCTTTTGCGCAATGTATTGAAGGGCGCTATGTTCAAAAATCTGAAACTAAAGCTCAAAATTCGAAAAAAAAAATTGTTAAAAACAGGGGGTTGGCCTATTCAATGGCTTCTAGAGAAAAATAATGAGGGGTGTCACGGGATATGACTATATAGGTCTTGTAGAAGAGAAACAGGCGCATCTTTTGCGCAAGGTATCGAAGGGCGCTATGTTCAAAAATCTGAAACTAGAGCTCAAAATTTGAAAAAAAAAATGTTAAAAACAGGGGGGTTGGCCTATTCCATGGTTTCTAGAGAAAAATAATGAGGGGTGTAACGGGGTATGTCTATATAGGTCTTGTAGAAGAGAAACAGGCGCATCTTTTGCGGAAGGTATCGAAGGGCGCTATGTTCAAAAATCTGAAACTAGAGCTCAAAATTTGAAAAAAAAATGTTAAAAACAGGGGGGTTGGCCTATTCCATGGTTTCTAGAGAAAAATAATGAGGGGTGTCACGGGGTATGACTATAAAGGTCTTGTAAAAGAGAAACAAGCGCATCTTTTGCGCAAGGTAACGAATGGCGCTATGTTCAAAAATCTGAAACTAGAGCTCAAAATTTGAAAAAAAAATGTTAAAAACAGGGGGGTTGGCCTATTCCATGACTTCTAGAGAAAAATAATGAGGAGTGTCACGGGGTATTACTAAATAGGCCTTGTAGAGGAGAAACAGGCGCATCTTTTGCGCAAGGTGTTGAAGGGCGCTATGTTCAAAAATCTGAAACTAGAGCTCAAAATTTGAAAAAAAAATTTGTTAAAAACAGGGGGGTTGGCCTATTCCATGGCTTCCACAGAAAAATAATGAGGAGTGTCACGAAGTATGACTATCTAGGTCTTGTAGAGGAGAAACAGGCTCATCTTTTGCGCAAGGTATCGAAGGGCGCTTTGTTCAAAAATCTGAAACTAGAGCTCAAATTTGAAAAAAAATTTGTTAAAAACAGGGGGAATGGCCTATTCCATGGCTTCTAGAGAAAAATAATGAGGGTGTCACGGGGTATGACTATATAGGTCTTGTAGAAGAGAAACAAGCGCATCATTTGCGCAAGGTAACGAAGGGCGCTATGTTCAAAAATCTGAAACTAGAGCTCAAAATTTGAAAAAAACTGTTAAAAACAGGGGGGTTGGCCTATTCCATGGCTTCTAGAGAAAAATAATGAGGAGTGTCATGGGGTATGACTATATAGGTCTTGTAGAGGAGAAACAGGCGCATCTTTTGCGCAAGGTATCGAAGGGTGCTATGTTAAAAAAAATTGAAACTAGAGCTCAAAATTTAAAAAAAAATGTTTAAAACAGGGGGTTGGCCTATTCTTTGGCTTCTACAGAAAAATAATGGTGGATTGTAGTGTAAAAAGGGGGATTCTGCCGCACTTGCCATTTTTAAACACAAATCCTGCATAGGGACCTCAACCGCAAACATAAAATGCAAATGCATTGTGTTTCAAATAGTCTAAGGGTGGAAACTAGAATATGGCTTTTTGTAAACAATAGTAGAGACACCTTAAAGGGATGTAATCCTAGGGGTAGATACAAAAATATGGCTTTCGTACAAAAGATGGAGGAACTCAGAAGTTCAAAAATCGTAGACGACGATTTTATTAATGATAATGTTTTCGAGGAAAAGGCAAAGGACCAGAGCCTGGAAACCCTAAAATGGAAGGAACTCCCAACCTGGGTAAAATATAAAATCCTAGAAGTGGTAGAAGTAGATGGGAAGTTTGGGAGGAGTAAGATCCTCACCTTGAAAAACAAAGAAGGAGAAACGACAAGGGTATGGGCCTGCAGTAGTCTGAACAGAGAGAAGGAACCCTTGGAAGGAGCCTTCGTGAGAAGTACAGGCTTAAAAGTAAGTAAAAAGACCAAACAGGAGTACTTTTCTTGCGATCTTGTGAGAAATTAATTCAAAAAAATAAATAAAAAATGGGGTGGGTGAGGTACAAAAACCCCAAAAAAAATTTTGCAATCCGACATTTCTGCCGGATCGGAAAGTTTTTTTTTTTTTTTTTTTTTTTTATGCTTTAAACGGAGCACATCGTGAAATGAAGCAGAACGAAATGCTGATGATATTTACAATGTGTTCACCTTCTGTATAGCCATCTGTGATCATATCGAATGTTTAAATCTGCCGCTTGAATCTCAAGACGGTGTTGATGCTATTGACAACGTTGAAGTATACTTGATAGTGTCTGGCGAGGGTTAGCGTTGCTCTTAGGGTCGCCCGGTTGAAATCGATGATGATCTTTGTTTTGTGTTTGTTGAGCCGTAGCCGCCGTTGGATCTCATTGTTGATGTCTTCGATGTCATAGAAACCTGTGCTCAGTGCGATGGGAAACCAGTTGGCACCATCGTCGGGGGAGTAGCGGAAGGAATTGTTACCTGTATGAATGTTGGGGATGGAGTTATAGGTTTCCAGGTTCACTAATGTCATCTCATAGGTCTTGGATTCCTTGAGTTCCAGTGGGGGGTTGAACCAGGTAAGGATTTGACTATCGTTTCCAGAGACGATGAACGAGAACCCCTGTTTGGGGTCAGTGTTGTTTGCAATTCGTCGCAAAAATGTTTTATCCATTTATTTATGGTACACCATTGTCACATATGTTTGCTTCCACTCTTCGATACCGTCATACTGCTCCTTGAGTTGTCTACCAGCCTTCACCACGATCGCATAGACTTCGACAGGGCGGCTGCAAAGAGGAGTAAATTTTATCCATTTTTTACTTTTAGAACACAACGTTCATCTTCTGACCATCGGATTCAAACTGTAGGATTCTGTCGGAAATGATAAGTGCAAATGCTCTGGTGTTTGCCTCCACGTTACGCTCGAACTGGGCCCGGATCTGAATGTCCACCGTGGATTCTTTCTGCCACTCGGACTGGTGACTCTCGTCAATGACAAACAAGGGGTACAGATTGATGAAGTCAGAGGGGTTGATGCCACCGTTGCTGAGGAGGGTGTCCATGTTGTGTAATTTCTTCCTGAAGTCAGCAGCCTCTTTGAACACTCTGGCTACCCTATTTTCGGTGAAAACGGCATTGTAGTCGACGGCCGGGTAGCGTTCAGCGTTGAGAGTGACATGGATGTTTTGCAATCGACAGAAATCGAACACGGCAACTTTGCGCTCCTGGTTCCAACTTCTCTCGGTTTGGAAGGCAACGATGATGTTCCTGGGCTTCTCACGACCGCTCTTGGCAGATAAGCGCCAGCTGAACTGTGAGGCTTGGGGGACGGCTATGGAATCGCACTGTCTCATTCGAAATCCACAGTTGATCTTCGCTTTACTCTGAATGGTTTTGTATAGCTGCATCTTGTTTTCGTCTAAAGGAGTGACGTGGGGGACGAACCATGAGATCTTACGCAGGACAACTTTTCACACGTCGACGGCGTGGAATTGAGCACGAGTGTGATTTCATGCCTGAACCCGTACACGATCTTGTCGTAGTCATCAGCGAACCCAAAAATGTGCTTCAGGGGGATGGCGAATGAAAACGACCCTTTGTTTGGCAATGATGTAGCCACGGCGCGCTACAAAGCCGGTGTTGTTTGCATGGGCGTCGATGGAGGAATCCTTGAATCACAGTTGGTTGAGACCTTGTGATATGGAAAAGTCGTCGGGGTAGGTCAACATTCCCATCATGGTGGTGGCGACGCCGGAGTCGTTGATGTGCTCGATTTGCTGGCCGGAGAGTCGATAGCTGATGGTTCTGAAGAGATACATGATACCATTATGGACGAGGGACACGAGACCAGTGTCGGCATATGCAGTGCCGTCGTTCTTTAGGAGCCGTCCTTCTACCAAGAGATAACTCTCGTCGGGGTGTAGGAACAAATCCTGGGTTTCGATGTTGATTCGGATTTCAAAACCGGCACTGTTCAGCTGGGCACCGGCTTGTGGTTCGTATTCTCGAACCTGATATTCCTGAAGACTTTCTTGGAAGGTCAACCCTTCGGTGATTGTAAGGATGTCAGTCATAATGTATTTATTTATAGCGTTGGACGAAGTCGTGGATGGTTTTGATACCAGGGCCGGAGATAAGACCGAACTTGCTCTGGCTTCTTGCGGGTCACTTTATCAACCACATGGTCGACGGCTTTGGAGGCCCCATTTTCAACACCTTTCAAGGCTGCATTGGTGGCAGCACTCACGGCCTTACTTCCTAGGGTTTTGGCGGCAGAGGAAGTAAACATGCGTCAAGCCAAACTGGCGATTGTGTCAAACAGTCCTCTACCACCGTAGGCGTACTTTCGAGCGTAACCTTTTTTGATTTACAACATTTATTTATAGGATGCTACGATGAAGCGCCTTATATTCCTCGATGCTGATATGTCTACCCTTTCTCATAGCATCGATAATCGACACAATTTCGTTGCGCACACCATTATTTCCTGCTCGGTATGCTGCGGCACACAGTATCAAGCGATCGAGAAGCTGTTTGAAGTTTGAAGGTAAAAACACGGTTTGCAGCCCACTGCCAAACTTATTCTTTTGGTAGATGTGGGACACGATTTTCTTCCACTTGTAACCCTTATTCCCCTTCGGGGTTCTCGAGAGGGTGGAATTGCCTTGATACATGGCACCGGAACTTTTTAGAATCTGTGCATAGTCCTCTAGGTCGTCGGGCTCGAACGATTCAGAATTCTTTTTCACCATGAGTTACCAGAGACCAAGGGTTCCTTTGTACCTCACACCATCCACGAAAATATCATCACCGTCAAAAGTAACTGGTGAGCTTCCGATAAAGATACTATCGTTTTCAGATCGCAATCCAGAGGTGTGGTCGGCGGAAGGAGTCATACTGAGCTGCAAATACTGCCGTGCTCGGGGTCCAAGGACGGTGTATGTAGCTGGTGCGATGGGTAGTGGGTCGGCAAACTCGGGCGGTGGAGGAGGAATGGCTGGCACTGCTGCAGGAAGGTCTGCGATCGTTTTGGTGATCTGTGAAGCTCCCTCTCGCGGAGCCTCAACCACAGGCTTAAACACCTTGGAAAGGTCTCGGCTAAGTCCAATCTTGTCGAGGCGATGCTGCATATTACTGGCTTGAATTTTCCGCTTGGTGTCTTGCAACTCCCTGGCAAGCGCCTCACGCTGCTAAGGGTCGGTAATCTTGATAAACGTCATTTATTTATAGGAGCGAACGTTGTTAACCGCCTCATAGCCTTGGTGTGAACGCCCCATAGCGTTTATAGACGTTTTTCCAAACACCTTATAGCGTTTGAAAAAATATCTTTCATTTAGCGTTTAAAAAGTTGTTGAAACAATGGGGGTAACGAGTATGATTGTATTCTCTTCGAAAGCTTCAAGTGTCTTAGGCATAGGTCTTTACGCGGTTGGCATGGGTGTGTACACTGGTGGCCTCGAATCGTCTTGGTAGGGCATTGGGGTAGAGGAAAGCGCTCACCTTACCATACTGGCGGCCAGAGTTTCATGCGTCGAAATCACCTACACCGCTATCCATCGGGCGGGGGATCGCGCGACCACACTTCCAACACATACTCCTCATATCGACTCAGTCCCACTCGAACTTACATTTGCAGGGCAACTAAAACTTGTAGGGCTGGGGTTCCTCTGTGTCTTCATACTCCATTTCCAGGAAGAAATCTTCAAACTGATCCATTCTTTATCTTATACCTCATAGAACTCATCTAATTTGTATCGGTATTTCCCTGCTGACTTGGGGCTCGTGAGATCGATGGTTACAAATCCATAGGGTTGGGACCAGCAATGCTTACACAGAGCGTCAAATTGTTACTTGGTAAGATCGTTGCAGTGGTCACGCCGGATATGATCGAGATTCTTAGCATCTTACTGAAAGAG